TGTGTGTGTGTGCGAGATTCGAATTAGCAAAGGGGAATGAATCTTCCCGACAGCACAGGAAAATTCATTCCCGCTTCGCACATTCGAACCGCGCTGCCACAGAGAGAGAGAGAGAGAGAGAGAGAGAGTTGGTGCCAAACTCGTCTCTCTCTCTCTCTCTCTCTCGGGCGTCTTTGTTTTTCAATTTTTTATTTTTTTTATCTGGGCAGAAGAATTGTCATTTATTTATTTATTTTTGTTTTGATGTGTACGTTCTGGTAGATCGAGGCTCGGCAAGGTTCGGGATACCGGTAGACTGAGCCACGGGCCTTAACAACCGGTAGGTACTGGTGGTTTAACTGCAGCCGGTTGTGGACTCTGTTTTCTGTCTTTTTTTTCTCTTTTTTTTTAAATGTAGATTTTTCAATATTTGTCGACTCGTGCGTGTCATTCTTCTGCAGCTAATCTTCTTTTCCTCTCTTTTTTATTCGTTTTTCGTTTTCTCAATCTTGGACTTTTATGAATAGGGCCAAGTGCCGAAGGCAAGATACATCCGAATGTGCAACACCCGAGACAGCCAGGTTGTCCCGGGCCCCATCAGAAGCCGAGAACCCTGTCCCCGAACACGGATCTCCATACTCGATATCAAAGCCGGACACTGGCCTCGATAAAAGAACAACTACCTTCCTTCACTGAAGAGAGCACACGCTCGTTTTTTCTGTACCTGACTGGAAATGTAGTTTGTATGCTTTGAGTATTGGGGTGCATTATGTTCGGTGGAAGACGGTAGCAAACCCGTCTATCTATATTTTCCCGCCTTGAACATTCAGTCAAATTTGAAGTATGACTAAGGTTGTGTTTTTTTTTTTCCAAAGAAAATATAATAGCTTGTGCTGCCTGCATATTCAATCAAATTTCCTGTCTATCTATACTCGGGTGCACGACAAATGACTGATTGAATATGCAGCAGCACAACAGATGATCCAAAAAAATTTATTTTCTTATTTGCTCGATTATGTAGTCAATCGCTTATCTCACTCTGCGTTCTACGCACTGTAAGAGTTCGAACTTCACAAGACCGACCAAATAATTAATACGCTATTGAAACAATTACGCAGGCGATTGTCATAATGTCAAACAGCCATGGGAAAAAAACTCGGAACAATTACGTCGGCTGGCACTCGGTGTTTCGACATATCACCAATTACCCCTTGTCGAGGGCCTTGTCACTGAGATGCTTTTCCGAGCGTTGATATGCGTAGCAACGTGGAGTGTGATGAGACACTGTGTGGTGGTCGGGTTGAAGGCCTGTGGGTTGCATCGATTTTTTTCACCTTTTTTTTAATCTTCGTCTTTTTTGTTTTTGGGTTTGGTTGACGGTTGGGCGAGTGGTCCTGAGCCACTCTGGTAGCCAGGTTGCGTGCTGAATCATAGAACTGAGAGAGGCAGTTAAACCACCAGTACTTGGCCCAGATGTCGGCCGCGGAAAAAAAGGAGTTTTAACGTTAGCTGTCCGATGAATTTGGCCGCTCCTGTAGTAGCCCCTGTGTTTCCTAAAATCGTGGCACGTTAACAGGCACGAGTCCAAATTTCCAGAAAACGTCTCATGCCATTTACGTAACAAAACCCAACGGTCATTTTAACCAAACCTGCCACCAATTTGTAGAGTGTGGATCATGCTAGCTACTTATAACCAGAACAAGATTGATGAAAAACTCCAAAAAACATATAAAACAGCAAGGGAAAAGTGCGCTTTCATGAAATTTCGCGAACATTCTAATTTCGGAACTCTTGAGAAATTTCAGAAATCTTATCAGAGGAAATTCCAACGGCTGAAATGATATCAATTTGGCACACAGCAAACTCGAACAACCAGTTTCTTCGAGTATTTTTTTGCCGATCCTGGATTTCATTGCCCTCTTGAGTTTTTCCGAGCCGGGATCCTACTCCATTTTCTTTATGGTTCTCTCACGGGAAGGAAAAAAAAAAAAAACTTCGGGCGCGAAACTCACAAACAAGAAATAAGAAAAAGGAAACAAAGCTCTGGCCATGATTGCAGTTGTATACGTTCTTGGAAGTGGTAGTGCGAGTGTGCCCAAAGTGAGGGCATCTCAGCCCCGTGGCCATATTGTTGGATTCTAGAAAAACAGAAGAAGAACAAACATGGATTCAACTTTTAAAATGGCTGGATGGATGCATTCCTCAAACTGCCATTGTGATCAGGGTTCCAATCCTCCGAGGAAA